AAAAAATATAATTTGATCTTAATTTTTAGAGAATATATAATCTTAATCATGGAGATCATGAATATGAAAAAATAAAATAAAAACTACAAATAATAATTATATTAAGATAACATTTGGACAATTAGTTACAATTTTTTTTAGATGAACGACCTATTTGCATCCATCTTTAAGATGGATGCTATATACCTCTTGGCCACATCTTGTAGAAATACGGTCCAATCCGCATGAAACAATTTTCCCATGATATTTATATGTGGGTGCAGTTTGAATAGAGCCGAGGCTCTCAACAATCAAAGTACAACGGTCATTTAAATAGTATTGAGAAATGTGTTTCAATACTTAAAATCTTTGTGACTGCCTTAAAATATATTTTCATCCTTAATTATAAAATTTAAAGCTTAAAAAATGGTCTAGATAGAGCAGATCTATGAAAACTTGGAAATCTTGAAAATTGAAGTCAAAAACTGCGTTACAAGATGCACTATACTTAAAATATTTGTACTAGCCTTAAAATATATTTTCATATTTAATTATAAATTTAAAGCTTAAAAAATAGTGTAGATAAAGCAGATCTATGAAAACTTGAAAATCTTCAAAATTGACAATCCAAAAATGCGTTACAAGAAGCACTATTTCCAAAACTTGAAATCCATTACTTTATTGTGTCCATGCATCTTGATATCGAGATGATCAATTTGAGGATATTTGGGCATCAAAACAACCTCGTTTAGTGAAATTTTTGAGGTTGGCTCTAATTTGATTGTTTAGAGCTTCGACTATATATAAACTTTTTTCTTTATATATTTGCCTAGTATTTTTTTATCTTTATGATTGTTGAATTGTTGCAGTTCTCTAAAGATCCCAATCTATGTGAATCTTAACTTTTTTGTTTTTTAAATTTTTTTATTTTAGAATTTAGACTCTAGAAACAACATATCCAACTAGATCACCCATGCTTTATGCTACGGAATGTTTAATAAATGATAGAATTTGGAATGTTCTAAGAGGATAAGGAGAAGACCCAAAAGTACATGGATAGAATTAGTGAGAAGAAGCGTGGTGACTTATATTCTTAGTTAGAGTATGACCCTTGATAAAGCAGAATGGTGGGGTATGATTCCTATGGCTGACCCAAAATAGTTGGGATAAGACTCGAATAATGATGATGAATATTTTAGATCCTAAAAATCATTAATCCAAATCGAGAATTGCAGATTTTAATTGGTATAGTGGAGGGCTAATCAAGCATTGGATCTTTAAGCCCTGATCAATTCTATGATATAATTAACAATACATGCTCTAGTGGGAGGTAAGCTGAAGGATTTTTTTCCATCTTTAATTTAGGGATCCTCTTCATAATAATTTAACAAGTACTTTTTTTTTTTTGGCTGAATAAGAATTGGATGAGCATTTAAAAAGAAAAAAAAAAAATTAGACTATATATTCCTATGATCCGGCTATAAAAAATAGGATAGTCTCTAATCAACCTTAAGATGTTTCTTTGAGGAATATATAATCTTAAGATTTTATTATTGAAGGAATATATGTAATGCATGTTGATATTTTATTTTATTATTGGGTTGGTCTCTAGTTTGACTATTTGAAGCAATCATTTAAAAAACGCTGGGTCGGCCTGGAATCGTCCGGTCTAATCTAGGAATCGGTCACCCTATGCCAATTATGTCAAGAAATCGTTCAAGATAACCGACGATTTGCTACAGTACAATGGCGTTCTGCTATGGTAAAAACGTCGTTTTGTTAGTAAAAATGCTAATTCATCAATCTGGACTAGTTTTTCCGGGTTTACTGTTTTTGCAAATGTTTTTATACCGGTTCACTATTTTTTTTGTTAAGTAAAACGTCAATCCAGACTGCCGATTCACCAATCCATATCGGTTTTTGTGATGCTCGATCCTAGTGACCAATCCGTTTTTTATTTCACATATTTGAACAGGCAGCCTCCTAAAAAATAATCAGCCTTAAAAACACCAGTGAGTACTGTTTTAACATTGGATGGGGAATATGAATCCTTGGGAGCATATAATCCAATGGTATAATAGAAAGTTGGAGTTCTGGATGTTTCATTTTGCAAGCTGGCCTTGCTTTGCTTAGGATTTTTCTACTTCATGATTTATTCCCCTCGAGAAATGGCTATCTGCTCCCCATCTTGAAGGTTTATATCTTGGAGGAATCAACTTTTTGGCATTGCATTCAATGTGAATATGATACTCTCACCTTTCCGCTCTCTAACGTATCGAATTCACTTGGAACCTTCTTTGATGATAAGCATGATATTAAGGGCGGATTTATATATATAAGAACCGGCAAAGATTTATTAACCACTGTCAACCGCCCCACCACATCGAATGTTATCGAATAATCAAAGAACAAACACGGTTGCTCTCTCTCTCTCTCTCTCTCTATCTCTTGGGTATCTCTTCAGTTCATGCTTCGGGGAGGGGAAACCAGCTCTAGAAACTTGTAACTGAAAAAATGGTCGAGGTCCGGTAGAACTCTGAACAGCTAGAAATAAATGGTCTAGATAATTTGTTATAATATACATCATTTTTAAGTATTGAAATCCTAGTTTCTTCTCATAATCATAATGATTAAGGCCGAGATGATTGATTTGAAGATTTTCTGATGCCATATTTATAATTTTCAATTGGTATTGACTAGGACATTACTTTTTGGTGTTATTTCAACATTTTCTCTAAAGGAGATGGCTTTTTATGAGTCCATGTAGAAATGAGTCACCTCTTAAAAATCTATTTTTGAAATGGATTTTTTAACCTAATTTTTAAGGATATGCAATCTCTAACATTAGAGATCATGAATATGAAAAATAAAAATAATAATTATATTAAAAAAATATTTAGACTGTTAGTTTCAAATGTTTTTAGATGGACCACCTATTTGCATCCATTTTTAAGATGGATGATTTATACCTTGCGACCGCATATTGTAGAAATGTGGCCCAGCCCCGCATGAAACAATTTTCCTATTTATTAGTTGGATATGAGTACATGATTAAGTAGGCATTGGTAAATATTACATGTTATTTTTCCACACTTTCACAACGAAATGTCGCATAATTTTTGTCCTAACTTTTTTTTGCCATTAAACTCGTCGACGCCTCGGTTGGTTGTCATCTAAAGGACCATTCAATAAGCAATAAAATAGGGTACGGTTTGTATAGAGCCTAGGCTCTAAACAGTCAAATTAGAGCCTACCTTCAAATAGTGTTGAGAAATATAGTTTCAATATCGGAAATCTTTTTGATAGCCTTAAAGTATATTTTCATCTTTATTTATAAAGTTTATAGCTTCAAAAATAATCTAGATCGAGAGATCTATGAAAACTTGAAAATCTTGAAATTTGACGGTCCAAAAGTGCGTTACGAAATACACTATTTCCAAAACTTGAAATCCATTATTTTATCATGTCCATACATCTTGATATCGAGATGATGAATTTGAGGATATTTGGGCATCAAAACAATATCTTCTAGTGAAATTTTTGAGGTAGGCTCGACTTTAATTGTTTAGAGGCTCGGCTCTCTATAAACTTTTCCCAATAAAATAACTCTAATTTTAAAAACAACATTGAATGAAAAATTTCAGCCCTTTTCTAATTATTTAGAAATAGGCCCTACTTTTGGGAAGAAACAATAAATGAAAAACTTTAGCTTTCAATGAAATGACAACCGACTAACAATAAAACTAATATTGGAAGAATGCAAAAATAAACTCTGGCCTTTTACCAAAATAAAACCGTAATTAATTATTTTAATTGAAAGATATGGGAGTGCCACCAAGCATGGGATTCATTTCTAAATAAAAACTAAGGATTTATTTGGATAGATTTCAAGGGATTTGATAAGGTACGCATGCTACATGGCCTGCAAATTACCATTTACTCATTGTATTAACCTCATTGCTAAATAATCCAAACCGTAAGGTTCGCAACGGGCTTGGGCGGGTCAGCCTTGACGTGGCCCGACCCTTGTCCCTATAGATGGAGGCTACTCTGGTAATTTTGATGAGAGGGCAAAATGGTATAATGATCATTACGAAATTAGTTTAGGGTAGTCACGATAACAGCCCAAAGAAGCAGGTCTCTTGGTGTGGGGTACCTGCAATTTAACACACGCCCTTGGTTAATGGGAAACCCAAAGTCTTTTCTTTTTTTCTTTTTTTTAATAAGTAATGGGAACCCCAAATTACCAAATTGTAACCCCAATTGCCAACATGATGTAATTTCTATAAGGTCTAGATTATATATATAAAAAAAAGAAAGTAAACCTTACTTAAAACCTTATCGGAGAAACCCTTCAGATATTGAAAAATATCTAGTATTGATCTTGTCGATATGTGAATACTCGAAAATTGAGGGCATAGATAATGTGTCTTGAAATCTTTTTTTATTTTCGCAACTATAGTCGAGATGATCAAATTTGAAACTGAAATTGAAATAATCTATAAGGTTTAGATAAAGTTTACTTTTTTCCGGATAAAGCCTATAACTTTTAAAATTTCTTTCCATCCTAAAGAAATTAACAAAAACACCGAAATCTAAAAAAGAAAAAAAAATTCAAATATATTTTTGGAAAGGAAAAAACAAAAAGAAAACAAAGTTAACCACAAAACGCAAATGCCGAACCCGAAGGCCATCATCGTTGACGGCATGCGGTTAGGTTAGGTTCGAAGACGGTGGCCGAGAATGGCTGTTTCCCGCTAACGATAACAGCAACTGAATTTAGTTTCTTAAACCAGAAATTTAACCACTTTCTAGATAGGAGAGAGAAACAACTGTAGAGAGAGAAAGAACAATTTTTTAAAATAGAAAGGTGTGAGAGAAAGAGACGTTAGAGAAATAGAAGGTTGGAGAGTCAGCCAAAGGGGGAACAAAAGAGAGCGAGTCAGGGGTAGAGAGAGAAACAGTACAGAGTTAGAGAGAGAAAGAGGAGAGATGTAAAGAGACAGACGTGCAGACAGGGAGAAGGATTTCTAGTATTAAACGCAACCGTGAGGGGGTGGAACGGATCTGGTCAATGCCGTTTGACCGGAGAGTTAGCGCTAAAATTAACCGATGAGAGATAGAGAAAGAGTAAAGAGGGTAAAGTTTTATCGGGGTTTGAAGAGAGAGAAAGAGAGGTTTAATTATTTTGCCTTTGCCTGCGGGCCTACTGTCAAGGACCTGCATCAATAAGCGAAGGGAGTCGTTATTTATTCGGCTTGAACGATGCATTGTATGTTGGGTGGTGGCGTTGTGCCCTACAACTCCTAATCTCCCTTTCTCTCTCTAAAGTATTGTACTGTTGTTTCTCTCTCTATCTTTCTCTTATATTTCACTGTGTAGCTATCTTTTACATCTTTCAGGACGAACCACTATCTTCTCTCTCTAAAACCTCTCTCAATCGTATTACAGGACAAACCACTATCTTCTCTCTCTAAAACCTCTCTTTCACTACTTGTTCTCTTTATCTATATCTGTTTTCCTGTTTCTCTCTCTCTCTTATCCTGGGTTGGGTTTACAGGGATCTCTTTCTCTCTCTACTAAACCTCTCTCTATACCTCTATTTCTCTCTAAGTGGGTTTTGCTAACAGAGCATCCGCTTCTCTCTATTTGCCTTCTCTCTCTATTCTGTTCTCTTAATACTTCTCTACCTCTTTCTGACTGGTTGGAGAAACATGAGAACCAGGAGAGGATTGTGTTACCCTCGAGTTCATGTAAAAGCAGAGACGCAAAAAGCGGAGAAGAGGGGAAGGCCGGCAAGTGCAAGTGTTGAGAAAAATTGCGGGAAAAAGGTCAAGATATCGACCGACTCAGGTGTAAAAGTGGATTTTTTCAAAAGGTTTCCTGATGATTTAGTGATCTGTATCCTTAGAAAGAAATCGGAGAAGAGGAGAAGGGCGGAAAGTGATGAAGATAGTGGCCGGAAAAAGGCCAGGGTTTTACCGGAATCCGGTGGAAAAGTCGATTTTTTTGATGTGTTACCTGATGATCTCTTAATTTCCATTCTCTGCAAGCTTAGTTCTCAGGCTCGTTCCCCTGCTGATTTCATGGGCGTCTTGTTAACGTATGTCTGCTTCTCCTTTTGGATCTAGATTAAGAGATCTGTATTCGTATTTTGTTTCTCTCTCATCATCTGCATTCCCATATTTTGATGATTCTATTGCGTTTTCGAAGGCCTTGGGCATATGGGTTTTGTTTCTTTTTTTTTAGTAGTTTTCTGGTTTTTAATGTTTCACTTTCATGTGAAAATCTCTTTTATTGGTTTTTTTTTTTTGGGTCTATTAGGTCTCCATTATTTTACCTCAAAGCATGTTTGATTGAATTTCATCAAGTGATATTTAAACAACTCATAATTTCTGGTTTATTTTGTTCTTTAGGCTTGGTTCTTCCTATAAAAGATGAACTAAAGTGCTCATAATCGTTTGGTGGGTTTTTGCTTGCAGTTGCAGAAGACTAAATAGCTTGGCGATGCATTCTCTGGTGTTGTCAAAAGCGGCTCCTGGAGCCTTCTCTGTGAAATCTTCGAAGTGGTGTGAATCCGCCAATCGTTTCATGAAACGGTGTGCAGACTCCGGCAACGTCGAGGCTTGCTTCACTCTTGGCATGGTATGCAACCCCAATTTACTTAGAGAGAAAGAGGAAATTTACACAGGAAAGGGGATGAAGAGAAGGGAAGTTCAAAACATGGAGTTAGAGAGAGAAAGTGTGTGGGGGAGAGTGCAATTTATTTTTAATTTTTAGGCATATATTTGGTTTAGAGTCCCAAGGAAAGTTAGAGAGAGATAAGGGAGAGTTAGAGAGAGGGAGCACAATTTAAGGCATTTCCCTATTTTTTACGCGGGTTTTTAGAGAGAGAAAATTGGGATAACTGAGTTGTAGAGAGAGAGAATTTGGTGATAGCTTTGGACTTTCATTTTTTTCGACACTTTTTGCTATTTTTGCAGATTTGTAAAATTTGATCGTTAAAGATGGGGGAGAGCATTTGATTTAGGTTTAGGCATGTGGGCAAAATTGTTTAAAAATTTAGTGAGAGAGAGAGAGAGAGAGAATCGGTGTTTACGAATCTTTTTATTATTTTTATGATTTACAAATTTATATTAAGGAGGTCGAGAACGCATTCATTAGAGAGACAGCATCTAGTTGGGTTTTGGCATGTCTGCCAAATTTTCAGGAAAATGGGAATCCGAGAGAGAGAGAGCGCCATTCCAGGAGAGAGGGAGATCTAGAGAGAGAAGAGTCTCGTGGGTTATGGTATTTTGGCTTTTTTTTTTATTATATATATATATAGGGAGATGTGAATTTTTTGGAATTTTGGCTTATTTTTTTCGTGGTTATGCTAGAGGGTAGAGAGAGAAAGCAGACCACACTCTAACCAGCACTCGTTTTTCCACAGATTCGCTTCTACTGCCTCCAAAACCGCGGCAGCGGCGCCTCCCTCATGGCGAAAGCGGCCATGGTGTCCCACGCCCCTGCGCTCTACTCCCTGGCCGTCATCCAATTCAATGGGAGCGGGGGCTCCAAGTCTGACAAGGACCTCCGTGCTGGGGTTGCACTGTGTGCTCGTGCGGCCTCCCTCGGCCATGTTGACGCCCTCCGTGAGCTGGGCCACTGCCTGCAGGATGGCTATGGTGTCCCCAAAAACATCCCGGAGGGACGACGGTTCCTTGTCCAAGCCAATGCTAGAGAATTAGCGTCTGTGTTGTCCATGGACCCTCACTCGGTGGATCCACGCATCCGTGGGAGGGCTCATCCGTGGCTGGCGCAACTGTTGGAGCACAGAGTGGCGGGTTGCCCATTGTTGAGCGATTTCGGGTGCAATGTGCCTTTGCCGGAGGCGAGCTTGGCGTCAAAGTTTCTGGGGGAGTGGTTCAGGGAGAGGGGGCTGGAGGGGGGTTTGAGAATGTGCTCGCACGCCAGTTGCGGTAGGGCGGAGACTAGGCGGCATGAGTTTAGGAGGTGCTCTGTGTGCGGGGCGGTGAATTATTGCTCCAGGGCGTGCCAGGCATTGGATTGGAAAGTGAGGCACAAACGGGAGTGCAAGCCGGTGGAGGCGAGGTGGTTGGATGAGCTCGCCGAGGAGGAGGAGGAGGAGGAAGAGGCGGAGGCGGAGGAGGAGGAGCAAGGGGATGAGTCATTGGAAGAGTAGGATTCATGGGCTTCTTGGACTGTACAGTTCCTCTCTCCTCCCTCTTTGTCTCTCTGCTTCCTACTCCAGTCACTTTCCCTCTCCTTATTCTCTCTCTTCTTTCTCTCTCCTACCTCCACTCTCTTTCTCTCTCCTATGCTATGCTTTGCTTTGATTTTGTTTAAATGTAGGAATTTTGATGTTTGAGGGGCTTCTCAGGAATGAGAAGCGAGGAGGGATGTTTTTGAGGAAATTAAAAGAGTTATCGAATTTTTTTCGCTTATTGTCAATATGTGTGTTATTTCTGTGTGAGTTGTGACTGACGTTCCACTTTGCTTGTTCGCGCTTCCAAACGCCTCTTTCTCTCTCTCTGTCGTGTTTGTCTCCCATGACTTGTTATGATTTTGGGTCTTTTCCTGCGTTTATTTGGAATTTCCTTACCCCCATTAGTGTTCTCTCTCTCTCTCTCTCTCTCTAGAAATGTTGAAGAAGCCCGTTGTTTCTCCCAAATTGGATGCTGGCCTTTGAAAATAGGGTGGCGTTTTATAGAGCCTAGGCGGTAAACAATTAGAGTCTACCTTCGAATAGTGTCGAGAATTATGGTTAAATCTTTGTTATAGCCTTAGAATATATTTTTATTTTTAAAGCTTCAAAAATAATGTAGATGGGCATATCCATGAGAATTTGGAAATTTTGAAAATTAAAGGTCCAAAAAAGTATTGCAAAATACATTTTTTTCAAAAGTTGAAATCTATCTTTTTTTATGCCATGCATCTTGATGTTGAAATGATCAATTTGAGGATATTTGGAAATCAAAACAATATCTTCTAGTGAAATTTTTGAGATACGTTTTAATTTGATTGTTTAGAGCCTCGGTTCTATATAAACTTTTTCTTTAAACATTTTTCAATTTTTGTGAAGGTGATAAAAAACATAAAAGAAAAATTACAAATAAATTTTTAATCTTTTGAATTTTTATTTTTTTAAATTTTTTTTTAAAATGCAAATTTGAGTAACTCGAGTAATTCTGGGTTGGTTCGCGTGAACACTAGTCGAGGCCTCTCCCATGTCGGGTCCGCATGGGCCACTCTCTCTATATCTCTTTCAGTCCTAGGACTTTCAATACCAGATCCCTCGTCTTCCCTGCATTTTGGTTAGCTGGATTTTTCTTTTCTTTTCTTTGTGTATTGTTTGATGTAGCTTTGCGTTGGGGTTAAGTTCATTGGAAGGAAAGATTCTATTAGATGCCGGACCTTGTATTGATTATTGACTCATTATGTTCAGAGGGGGGTTAGGGTTTTGCAGAGAGAGAGAGAGAGGAATCCGAGGTTTTACTTGACCCATTCCTTGGTCAAAAAGGTAAGTCATGTGAGTATGGTGAATAGGACCTGTCCTCCAACGAAGAGAGAGAAAGAGAGGAGAGAGAGAGAGAGAGGGGAATGCCCTACCCACCTGTCTCAACAAAGAAGCAATAATGAGTCCATAACTCACAAAGCCGAAGCGGACGGCTGAGATGCGTTCCTTCAACTTAGCTGAAAACCTGACCGTCTGTTCGATTGGCTAAACCCTCATCCTTTGTATTTATAAAGCATGAGCTTTGGGGATGCATATTTGCTTGCTTGCGTTTCCTTTCATAAACATGGAGTGGTATTTTGGTCATTCCGTACATAAGATATTATTTTATGGAAGTATGGCATGCATCAATGTGGTGTGTTTGCTACACTAAACGAGGAGCGTATGCTCTCCATCCATTCTCAAAACCGACGGTGGCTATGGACCAATACATGATGTGGGTGATGGGGATATTCTTTAACAAGCCACGGTGAATATTAACCATACGTTCTTAATGATGGGCTATAGAGATTAATCTTTTTTTTTACTAAAGTGAACAACTATTTTTTTTTTTACATTGGGAATTTAATGGCGGACAAGCTTTTTATTTTTTCCCTACAACATAAAACTTATATATTTCTCTTTATCCAACCCTCCATTTTCAATGGAGGGTTAAGATTGCCCCAATCATAATGTCAAGTCTCTACACTATTTTATTTTTAATTTTTTTTCTATAAACTATTTTCATGTCAAATTTTGTACGTCCAATCCTCTATTAAACTCACACTAGTGAAAATATAAAAATATTTTCAAAAAAATAAAATGACCAAAATACCTCTAAAAGTTTCAATGGGTATTTTGATCATTATATTTTATCGAAAACTTATTTTTAATATTTTTATAGGTACGCCCCAATGAGAGGAAGACACGTACCAAATTTCATATTCATACAATTTGTATATAAAAAAAAAACTAAAAATAAATTACTTTGAGATGTCGGATCTAAGATCAAACAGCGAGTGACTCTCTCGAACATAATTGGACGGCTGGATGGTAAGGGAAGCATAGATCTTCTATGTTGTAGGTAAAGTATAGAAAGGGAAGCATAGATCTTCTATGTTGTAGATAAAGTATAGAAACATTTCCCTTTAATGGGCAGATGAACTTTGTCAATCAATCCAGAGAGAGAATCACTTATCTAGATTGAGAATTGGTGGGAACCAACCCAGTTCTTAGTTCCGTGGTGGTTCCCACAAAATTGTCATGCTCATTTAGGGAACTGGTCAATTCTATAAGGGAGTTGGGCGATCTTGATTGTCCAGTTCACACAATTTATAATTTTATTATTTTTCTTATTTTAAAATTTTCGTTTATTTTCATTAATTGATTCTAGATCACTGATCTGTAACTATTTCCAAAATGGATCAATGATTTGGAACCATTTCTCAAAGGGAAAAGTTTACACATAGTCGATGATCTAAACAATCAAATTAGAGTCTACCTCGAAATTTTCACTAGAAGAAGTTATTTTGATGCCCAAATATCTTCAAATTGATCATCTCAACATCAAGATGCAAGGACATGAAAAAAAAATAGACTTCAAGTTTTGAAAATAGTGCATCTTGTAACACATTTTTGGACCATCAATTGTCAAGATTTTCAAGTTTTCATAGATCTGCTCGACCTATACTATTTTTTAAGCTTTAAATTTTATTATTAAATATAAAAATACATTTTAAGGCTATCACAAAGATTTCCAGCATTGAAACCACATTTCTCGACACTATTTGTAGGTACATTTTACTTGGATTGTTTAGAGCCTCCGCTCTGTACAAACCGCACCCTTATTTTTATCAACGACTATTTTTCAGAACCTATGCCAAAGCCTTCAGTCTTTACTAACTCAAAAAACTTGACAAATTTCAACTCAAGTAATTTGTTTTTCAATACGTCACGTAGCATATAACGTATTAGCATTTTTCTTGTATAAAAAACAATGAGTAGGTTGATCTGTAGCGTACATCAACCATTTCAAGTCTTAACTAATGCAATTAATAAACCATAGTTATCTTAAGAAAGACAAATATACTAATTAATTATCTCTGTCTAATAGTAATTTGATGTATTAGTGGACGCATGTGCTTGCAACATGTCGCTACCTAAAAGAAGGTGGGAGAGCGTCCTTTGATGTTGGACCGGTGGCACGCAACGATGAAAGACAAAAGGGATATGTCCAAAAGATATGAGTGAGAGACGGAGAGTAAAATGTCCAAAAGATATGAGTGAGACACAGTGCGGCGTGTCGTGGGAAACAAAGCCACAATGGTAGTATCCGTCGGGTCCGGCTGGACCTAGACCCGAATGTATTCGGATTCAAGTTTTGGACTTGGACCTGATCTGATTTGTTGGGTTTAAAAATTAGACTCATACCCGTACCTATCGAGTTGACACTAGACCTAGTCCGCCCTTCATGCCATAGTTTGTTGCCCAAGCCTTACTTTTCTAAGATCGAGCAAACCTGCCTTGCCCATTGCCTACTTCGAAAGACACCAAAACCAAGCATACTGAAGATTGCAAGAGCACGCATGCGTGTAGAGGGAGAATGGGTAATTTAGTGAAAAAAGACAGGCACTATCCGTTTTTCAATTAGATTGGGAGTTAGCTTTTTTAAAGTGTTAGTGGGTTGGTGTTAGTGATAGGATTGGAAACTACAATGTGATGACTAGGGTGTGCCGGGTACTACCACCGTAACCCTAGCCCCTTTTCTTGTGGATTAAGATATGTACTTTTTTTCTATTATTATTTAATGAAAAATGGGTAGAAGCCATCTCCCCCCATTAACTTACCCCCCACCCCAAAAAATAAAAAAGAGATAGGAAGTTTTTTTTTTTTAATGTCTATGAGAGAGATTAATAGAACCTCCCTACGCATAAAATTGGGTCACTCATGCTAGAGAAAGCATAATACAACTAAGTCTTGATTTATGAAAATGAAAAAAAAGAAAACAAAGACATTCTGTAAGATAACTACCAGGAGAGGCATGAATATCTTAGAGAGTTACCCAAGTTATTTAAGAGATGCCCAAGGAAATTTGGACTAGGGGATTTCAGAGGATGGGAGTTCAATTGAATATTCCGCGGAAAGTTGATGTTTTTCTCAAGTATATAGGTCTTTGCCCTATTATCCAAAGTATGTAAGATTACTAGTATATCTTTCCGTATTGCAATACTGTGGGAAATATGGAAAGAGACGAATAGAAGAGTCTTTGATAGGAAAGAAGATCATTTAAGGAAAGTAAATATGACCTACTCATGGGGCATTGATACAGAAAATGAGGCAGAGTTGCGAGCAGTAGTGTGTGGTTCAAAAATTGAAAAAAAAAGAATTTCTAGTGTGATCGAAACTGATAGGGACTCTCTGAATGTGATTGGTGTAACGCAGGACAACAGTTGCCATGGAATTTAAAACCTTTATGGTTTCAAGAGAGATTTTTGTGAGACTTACTATCTCTTTCAGACGTGTACAGCTCAATGGCGAGGCAGCTATGAAAGCGAAGCAAGGGGCGGAGCTACAGGAGATGGTGTTACATCTCAGTTAGTTTTGTTGCTGTTTTTTGTTCCTTTGGTTTTCCTTATGCACTGCTTTAGTTGAAGGAAAAATTTTATATGGGGGCAGCCGGCACGGTAACTCCCGATCACCACTATCCAACTTGTTGGAGGTTGTTGTTGGACGGTGGGATGGGGAGTTACCGTGCAGACTGCCCGCATGCTAACTGCTTCTTTTGTTGAATTATGAATTACAAATTTGACACTTCTAAAAAAAATAAATAAAATAATAACAATAATAATAATAACAATAATATTTACGATGATGTTAGAGAGAATACAACTAGAAGTCTAAAACCTTGCTATTAGTATGCTACATATAAAACACGGCCACTCATGCTTTAATCCTGCCG